GTAATTCGGTCCCTCAGGGAGTTTGGATGTGTCTATGGAGCTTCCATGACCTTGCTTTGTACAAGTTGTGCTGGCTTCCCCAGTATTGTGTACTGTCTCACCCTTCACCAAAGTTACCACTTAATACAGATATATTTTAATACATACATAAAAAATACACAAATCATTAAAAAAAGAGGATGATCATAAGTGTGGTTCATCGTAATTCAAATATGTCGTAAGTCGAGGACTCCCTGTATAACAAAACACTTGCCATTTTAACCAATTTTAAGTGACACAATTCAATAACATTAATTACATTCACCATGTTGTACAACCATCACCACTATCCATTTCCATATTCGGGGCCTGTTTTTGAATAAAGAGCTCCATGAGGAAGCTATCAGCAGGGTCTGGTCGAGAGGTAATGAAGGTGGGGTGGGGATCAGATACCAGTATGAATGATACTGTAACGGAAGGGTCACCAGATTAAGTGACTTGGGTCTTGAAGGCCAGGCTGGGTGTGGTGGGTGGTCGAGGCTACCACAGCCCTTTGAGCTGTGGAATGAATTGAAACCAGAAGTAAAGACAGATGGCAATGTTGAGATGGATCCAGATAAAATGATGTGACGTCGGAGTTGCTCCAAAATCATCCAGAGTGGGAGGGGTGACTGGGGACCAGACTGAAATGAGAATGGACAATGCGTTGATAGACGGTGATGCTGGTGATGGATACACGAGGCTTTGTTACATTATCCTACCTTCGTATATGTTAGGCACTTTCCGCTAAAACAGGACATACAGTAACTGGCTATTGGGTGTAAGCTGTGATGTAGAAGGAGGGACCAAAGGGGACACAACAGTTTCCAGTCCAGGAACCCGGACGGATGACAGGTTGGGAGGACTGGTTGTAATCTCAGGGGCTGTGTGAGAGAATCAAAAGCAGAGACTGCACATTTATGGAAACCCCTGAGCTCCTTGAAGACACCGTTAGGGGTCTCGTGGTCTGTTTTTCTCATGGGTTCTAACAGAAGCTAATAAGAAAACACGATTCAGTAGGTCCATATCCCTCCAGCTCATCCAAAGGACAATCCAATGTAGAAAGCAAGGTCAAGTCTAGCTTGCAGAGGCTGAGCCGGGTTCTCGCTGTCCTTCCAGAACGTCGCTGCCAACCACCGGGCCAACGATGTGATCGCTGCTGAAGATGGTCCCCAGGTTCTGGTGGGGCGGTTCATGTACGGACCCCTTGACATGGTCGCTCTGACCGGAGAGAAGGTACTGTGGGCTGGCTCTCCCCTCCTCAGCTGGTCTCACCCTGCCCCAAGTACCATGTGTTACCAAGTGGCACACAGGTGGATTGAGGGCGCCAGGAGGAGCCGTGCTGTGGGGGGGAGCACAGAGCTGGGAGCCACCGCCTTCCCGGGAGGTGAGGGAGGGTGAGCACGGTGTGTCTGAGGTGGAATAAAGAGCGAGTGGGGCTGTGGTCCCTGCCGGGGTGGTGCAAACGGTTAAGCCCTCCGCTGCTAACCAGAAGGTTCAAGGATAGAGTCCACCCAGAGGTGCTTGGAAGAAAGGCTTGGTGATCTGTTTCTGAAAAAGCCACCATTGAAAATCCTATGGAGCACAGTTCTACTCTGACACATGTGGGGTCACCGTGAGTCAGACAGCTGGTTAATGGTGGCAGGAGCAGAGTGAGGAAGAGGGCGGATGAGGATGGTGGGAGCGGGGTGAGAGAGGCTTTTCAGGGCCTTGGGGGCCGTGGTAGCTTTTATTATACATGAGATAGGAAGCCAGTGAAGGGTTTCCATCAGGGGAATTGATGGGGTATGGATGATGAGGAGGGTGAAAGGCAGAGGGAACAGGAAGGGTAAATAAAGGCACAGAGCCGGGAAATACCCTTGGGTAGAAGCTTGACCTCTGGTCTGCTGTGCATGCAGAGAGCAACACTGCCCAGCCCC